GTGATTAATATTTATTCCAGAAAAATATGAAGCCAAATTAGATATATTCATCATTATATTTTTAAACTGATTTTTGAAGTCATTGAGGTGTGTTCTATAAGTATTTTAAGCAGATCAATACAATTTAATGATCTAGTTAATATCATCTTAAGGAGCTTGTCAGAATTATCATCATTCTTAAATTCCTTAATTTTTATTTCAACTCCAGTGTATCTTAGGTTTACTACCCCTAACCAGTGGTTCATTATGAGTATAAATTAAATAATATTAATTAAACAACATATGAATAAGAATAAAAATGATTTAAAGCTGTATAAAACTGCCATTGTGGTGGTTTTTACTATTCAACTGTGTAATAACCTAAGTCATGAGCATGTTCATCTGGTCTCTACCATCACTTGTACATTCTCACTCAATATCCACACTGAGGCTCTAAAACTGTTCCATTTTGAAGAGAAAAAAATCCCATAATTCATTATTTGAAAAATTATTTAGAAAAGCAAGATTAAAACCATTGCCTTTTCCACTGTTAATGTTGCAAACCCCAGAACACTGTATAGGAATTCTGCCAGTTGGAAAACATTGTCCTTTGCTATCTTTGAGGGTTTGGAATTTTTAGGTAATCCTCTGGAACTTTGTTATGGTATGAATTTATAATTAAAGCTATAATCCAGATATATTAAAGCTCCTTAAAAGCATGGTTAACCCACTTTATTTTTATTTTGAGCTAAAAATGTTTCTGTTAACTTTTGTTGAGTGATTTAGGGAGTAAATAACAAATATTTTTATATAATATAAATTTTTCTCTGTTGTAAATATGTTTGGCACTAATTTGTATAGTGTTGCAAAGACGTTTAATGCATACTTATTAGACAGAGAAATTAAAGGATTATTTAAGAATAGACATCTTGACTCTACTTTACAAGAAACATCATTTATAGTACTGGTCATCAGAAGGGTGATTTTCTAAAGAGGGAAGAGAAAGGTCATTGGGTGTTCTTATATCCAAATTTTCCTTGGTTTCAACCAAGCCAGATACATGAGAATAGATAATTCTAGCTAAATCATACTTTGTTTATACCACCTGATATACTCCGAGCTCATAGTGGTCCCACTGTAGGGAACTGGTTCGTAGGAGATAGAAGTGGAACCAGATCTAGGTCTCCTGTTGCTAGATCTATCATTCCATGTTTAGGATACTCAGAGATGGTAAAGCTTTATGCTGGCATTGCTGTACTGTCATGGAGGGCATAAGTCATCTACGTTTTCTCAAATGAAAGCTCATGCCAATTATAATGCTGCTCCTAAGCCTAACAAAGGTGTATTGGGAAGGTTTGGTATATTTTCAAAAAAATGTATTTCTATCTGTATTATTGTTTTAGGATAATTCCACCATACACCAGTTTCAGGATGCACTTATACATTTGAGATATTTATTCTTGTATTTTAGCAATTTGATATTTGAGTAATTCTGTACAGAAGAATGACAAAGTTAATGAGATAAGTAACTGGTAGATGGTGTCTCTTGGCAGATTTCAGAGTTAAAGGGCAGGGTAGAGGCTTAATTTTCTGGTGGAAAGTATCTAAACTTTCTTTTAAGAGATTTATTCCTTTTAAAGTAGTTTATGTATGTTACTTAATTTAATTCTAACAATAACTGTGTAATGGCCATCTCCAGTTTGGAGAAGAGAAAAATAAAATCTTTTGATATTAAGCCCAACAGTGATTACTAGTTTATTGGTAACTTCAAGAAAGTTTCATTTCAATGTTTTCCATAATACATGCAATCTCTATGCCAACTTTATATACATTTGTTTCTTCTGAGGGGAACTATAGTTACTACAATTGCTTTTTAGTCACAATTTTATCAAAAAAGTAATGCAAATAGCATGTTTCAGTCAAGGACAATAGGTACGTGTGTGTATATGTGTGGTGCATGTACTTTTAAGTATTTATGGAGTGTAAGAATATAATAGTAGCTCTATATAGTAACAGTCATTGTGTGATTTTTAACCTTTCTAAGATTTCATTTCTGTACAAATGAGCTCTGTGAAATTATTATGGCCAAAATACCAATGTTTGTCTTTCACTCCGTTTATCTACACTTCATAAAAATACTTAAATATTACTTCATCATCCTTAAATTTGCTTTTCAGTATGTGAAATCTATGAACTAATTCTTGAATATTTGTGAAGTAATTTTGATTTTGCAGGTGTTGCAAGCCCTTAGGGATATTTAGCTTAATTTGGAACAGGATTCTCTATTTTTCCTTGATTTTTCATTTTTGAAAACAAGTTACAGTAAATCCATTTATGTATAATCCTTTTGTATCTTTCTACAGTAGTTTGGTTAGGCATAAGAGTTCTCATAGTTCATGATATCCTGAATGAAATGATAAGAGAATTTTTTTGCAGATATGTATATCATTGTGTATATGTTATATATCCCCTAGGTAAAAGTTCTATTTTATAGACTGCTTGGATAGGATCAGCAGTCGTAGTTAATATAAAAGAACTAATAAAGACTACCACTTCTTGAATTTTTTGTTGTTATTGAGGAAAGGTATTTCTAAAAGAACCAGTATAAGATCAATGCTTTAAAATACTTTGCAGTGTGTTTATGGTGGTATGATCATGGTGATATGCTGCCAGTTGATAGTTGAGCAAGACAGAACTTAAATCTTTTATGTTGACATAATGTTAGTCTTAGGTGGTTTAAGTTTCTCCTTCAGCAGATTTGTGCCTATAAAATTATTTGCCTCAGAATGAGTAGAGCAGAAGTTTGGCGGGTAAGGATCCTGTGGGGATGCTATCAGATCTGTTTCTCAAAGTTGGGTTCGTGGACCAGCAACATCAGCATCAACATTACTGGGAGGTTATTAGATGTACGATCTTGACCAATCCCAGATTACTCCGTCAGAATCTGCATTTAAACAGATTCTCCAGGTGATTTGTATGCACATTAAAGTTTGAGAAGCACTCCTGTAGAAGACATAGGTCTTGCATCTGGACAAGGAACAAACACTTCTCTATCTGAGGTTGCAAGGATATAAAGATTTAGAAATTATTTCTTAGAATAACAACACAAATGTTTGCTTTGAAAGTACATTTCTCTTTAGGATTATCTATCTTTTCTGGAATAAAATGTGTCTAATACATTTCTTTACTTTGATACTTTCATCTTATCTACCAAAGAATATAAACCTCACTTCGTCCATACCAAGTGAGCAAACCTGGTGGTTGTTAAGTCTTCTGTAAGACAGTGGCATCGTCTGGATTTGCATAAAATTGAATCTTGAGAAAAGGAGATGGGAGACTGAGGCCCTGACATTAGAATGGCATCGCATGTATCATCACTTATGGGGCTTGTTTTTGTGAGTCAGGGATGCAGACATGCTTTATTTCCTCCCAATTAAAGAATAAGTATGTCCTGAATGTCTGCTGTGTGCAAAATGAAACAGAGTGGATCAGACTTTTCCTCAGAGAGTTTACAGTCAGGTTAGAGAACTAGCCTTGGAAGTCAGGCAACCTGCCACCAGCAGAACTGTGGTATTCTGGGATATGGCCATGTGGATCCATTGGCTAGACTATTAGCTATGGTTAAAAGGGAGAGTAGGAATAGCACTCATTTCGGTCAGTTACACCTTTTCTATCAGAGTAAGTATTGTCATAGTATATCCATGTATTTAAGGAAAATTAGAATTTAGAGCAAGAACCAAAGAAATGTAAATGTCTAGACGTACCTTCTCTAACAGACTTAATGTACTATTTGTTGTGACGAACTCTGCCTCTCAATTTTTCAGTTTGCTTAAAGGAAAAATCTTTTGTTTGCGTTCTGTTTCCAATATTTCAAAACTCCCTCAGTGTTGCTCAGCTTCTGAGGTGGCCTTGGGAGCTCATTGACCTTTCTGGGGATTGCCTTAGTGTGGCATTTCAAAAATTTCTTAGCCAGGGATCCCTCAGTATAAATGAAAAAGTCTTGCTCAGTAGTATGAGCATTTAAACCACACAGGAGGGAAAGCTGCTCTTGTTGAATCTGGGGTTGTGCCTGGCTCTTTTATGCATACTTGGATGTAGGGGTGCGGGTGGGAGTCTTGAGTTCTGGGACACAGTTTGAAAACCAGTGACCTAGTGTAAGACACTACCGTGACTACTATTAACCTAAAGACTTATAGTAGCCCCTGTTTTTAATATATAAAAAAGAGATATTTTTTCATGAAACTTTTTTCCTGCCTCCTTTAATTCTGATTTTTATCCAGTAGTGTAAAGTTTGTCTGTCTTGAACAGGTGACCTAAAAATCTTCAAGGTAGAAGACAGCCACTTGTAGTTACTACATGTGAAATACCTTAAGTATATGGGATCTGGGACAAGACACAGAAATACAAAAATGGCTCCTGGGAACGTACAGTTTTCTGCCATACGATCGGCAAGCATATTATTAACATAGCAGAGAAGGGAACTTGCCATAAAGTTTCTCATAAGCAAGGAACTGTAAAAGAAAATTATAGCATAGTATACTTCAAGATTGTAAATGCCATTCTCTTCATTTATTGTGCTGAATATATTACTTACTTGTAGAAATTTGTATATAATATTTTAAAAAATACTAATAACAGCATTTATTGGTTCACTGTGCCACAAATCTTTTCCCCTACAAATTCTCAATCATGAACTTAATTCTTGAGATTAAGGAGGTACCACAATATACTGTAATTTGTAATAAATAGTTTTTTTCTCCCTTAGGCGTGTTAGGCTTATAATTAGAGAAAAGCAATGAGACACCTTTTGTTCAGGATTTTTCAGTGGAGAATACATTTTGACTTGAACAGGGTTTTAGTGATAACCTGGCAATATATAATCTTAGGAAATTGCTAAATGTTCCACTTAAGGATTAGCTCAGATTTTGTTATGTCGTGATTGTACCAAAAAGTGCTATATAGTCATATCACATTGTCACACACCATGCTTAGTGATTGCTCATGCCACTTTTACTCTGTAGGAGAATGACTCAGGCACTTTGGACACAGTGGGTGCTGTGGTTGTGGACCACGAAGGGAATGTTGCTGCTGCTGTCTCCAGTGGAGGCTTGGCCTTGAAACATCCGGGGAGAGTTGGACAGGTAAGTAATTTTTGGATTTTTAAACTAGCTTTTCAAGTTAAAACATGGAATTTTCTAGCTCACAATTTTTTAAGTCATTTTTCAAGAGAGACATTTTTTTCTTTATAAAAAATAAATGACAGCATTGTTCTTTAATATTTATGTAGTATAAATCATCAATCAAATACCTTTTCAAGATTCTTAAAAAAAAAACTCCCCTATCTCATAGTAATAGGGTTTTTTCTGGTCTTTGTAATTGGTAATCCTATGTTTTGCTACTTTCTACAGGTGAGCTACTGGCCTGGGCACTTAGTAGACGTTTAATAAATGTATGTTGATTTCCATTTTCTTTCTTTGCTAATGTCATTCTCTTGAGGAACAAGCACTCTCTGACTGTATTGCTGCTTGCTTTTTAGGTGGGAAAATGAGTTTAGAGTTACATTTTGTATTTCTTCATTCAAGGAACAGTAACGTTTTGACCCTCTAAATCCTTCCTCTGATTAAGCATTTCAGCTGTTTTGTAGACTAACGAGTATTTCAGGTCACCAACACATGATACCACTCAAGAAATCTAGATATAAGGAGAGTCTAATTTATGTGCAAGTGGCTTCCTCCCAGTTCACTCTCACATCACCCACCCCCCCATTCTCTAGCATTTAGTTCAGTCCTGAGAATGAAATTTAACAATCCATTTGATTTAGTAAGCTTTCTGAGTATAAACCAATTTGGCACATTACTTATGGGCTTAATAAATATTTGTTGAGTGAAAATATGAATTGGACACCCTTCTGGGGTCTGTTAAAGTAGTTGCAAGGGGTGGGTTTAAGCTCACTATTTGGATCTCGTGTTACACATGGAGCACTGCTTGGCATGCTCTGTGCTCTTTCTCTCTCGTGTTTGAAGAAGAGTCGGTGTCATAGTTGCTTTGGACACGGTGGTTAGCAAATGCTTGGAGCAGAGTGATCTGATTCATGGAGGACGTTTTTGTAAAGCCCCAAGTGATGTTCCCTGATCTGTCCTTTGTTGTGGACAAGCCCCTTTTAGTCTTGTGGAGGGAAAGGGAAGGGAAGAATAATTAATTTTGTGCTACTCTTTGCCTACTGTACAAGGGGATTTATAGGGAATGATTACTCAACATGTGTGCAATGCTTTGAACTCATTATAAAAAGCCTTTGTCTGGTCATGGTATTTTTCCACATTATAGAGCCCTGTGTATTTGTCAAGTTTGGAATAAGAAAACCAAGCTTGGCATATCAGATTTGGATGCCTTAGTGGAGAAGGAAAGAGAAAAGCCAGCAGAGCCGCCTTCATTGCATTGCAATTCCCATGACTTTCTCACTGTTTTTTGTTTGTTTTGGTTAGCCAAATAGCAACAACAGAACCAAGGATAGTTCTGGACTATGTTAGCAGGATATTACATTGAATAATCTTGAAGCCATTCTTCCACTGCACGTGGGACTTTCCTGGAAGAAGAAATACTTATGTAAAACTTACATGTTGATTTGCCCCACTTGGCTAGTTAATGAATATACAATTTGTGAGAGCTGAAAAATCAGGAAAGGGTGTGGAGGAGAGGAGTAAGGTGCTTACAGGAAAATACAGTTGCTTAATTGGATTATATTGCTTGGATAGAGGAGATGTAATTAGCCTGGAAATATATAAGCATCAGATGAGAGGTAAAGAATCGTTCTTCTTGACAATCAGTATAGCATGAAACAAAATACACAAGCAAATTATTAAAAAAAGCAAAGGTGGGCTGGCCCCGTCGCCTGGTGGTTAAGTTCGGCACACTCCGCTTCAGTGGCCCAGGTTCAGTTCCCAGATGTGGACCTACGCCACTCATCAGCACAAAATAGAGGAAGATTGGCACAGATGTTAGCTCAGGGCAAATCTTCCTCAGCAAAAAAAATAAATAAATAAAAATAAAAGAAAAAGCAAAGTATTTTTTTTAATGTGCTAAAACTAGGTACTTTTAAATACATTTTATTTATTTATTATTTGTGAGGAAATCTATTGCCAATCCTCTTCCCCTTTTTTTCCCCTTTTCTCCCCAAAGCCCCAGTAGATAGTTGTACGTCATAGTTGCACATCCCTCTAGTTGCTGTACGTGGGACGCCGCCTCAGCATGGCTGGACAAGCGGTACGTCGGTGCGCGCCCGGATCCGAACCCGGGCCGCCAGTAGCGGAGGGTGCACACTTAACTGCTAAGCCATGGGGCCGGCCCCCTAAATACATTTTAAAGATTTTATTTATTTATTTCCCACCCCCAAAGCCCCAGTAGATAGCTGTATGTCATAGCTGCACATCCTTCCAGTCGCTGCATGTGGGACGCGGCCTCAGCGTGGCCGGAGAAGCGGTGCGTTGGTGCGCGCCCGGGATCCGAACCTGGGCCGCCAGGAGCGGAGCGCGCGCTCTTAACCGCTAAGCCACGGGGCCGGCCCCCTAAATACATTTTAAATGCACAAATGAACTATTTAAAAATTTTAGCATATTACTGTGCTCTAGATATATAATAATAATTCAGATGGTGAAATGGCAATTTGAATTAGAACTTATTTGCTTCTTTAGCTTACTGTAATAATTAGAATTTACAACTGGGACACAAGAAAGGAATTATTATATTCCACCTCCCCCCACCAAACCCCACCCTACCCACATACAAATAGGCAGTTGAGTTTAGTGGTTAGGAGTATAGACTTTGGATTCAGGTAAACCTTTATTCTAATCCCATCTCCCCATTTACTAGTTCCCTTACTATGGACAAGTGATTCAATGTCTTTAAGCTGTACTTTCCACAACTGTAAAATGGGGATAAATGGCTACCTTATAAAGTTCTAGAAGATTAAATGACAAAATATATTTAAATTGCTCATCATAGTCCTTTGTAACAACAGCTATAGCTACTGTTTATTAATCACTTGCTATGTGCAACAGGTGTGTTAATGCACATGATCCTATAACACTAAGAGGTAGGTGTTTTTATTATCCTCATTTTATAAAAGAGGAAACTAAGACCCAGAGATTAAATAATAATAATATCATTTATATGACCTACTTTTACTGCATGATATAATAGCTTTAATAAAATTTATTACTAAAAAGCAATCTTTTTTGGTTGTTGTTTTTGCTTTTTAAGGCATGCTTACGGTTGTTATATATATATATATGTATATATATATATACATATATATATATTTTTTTGTGTGTGTGTGTGAGAAAGATCAACCCTGAGCTAACATCCATGCCAATCCTCCTCTTTTTGCTGAGGAAGACTGGCCCCGGCTAACATCTGTGCCCATCTTCCTCCACTTTATATGGGATGTCGCCACAGCACAGCTTGACAAGTGGTGCACCGGTGTGCGCCCGGGATCCGAACCCGGGCCACCAGCAGCAGAGCGTGCACTTAACTGCTACGCCACGGGGCCAGCCCCCAAGGTTGTTATATTTTATCCAAAAAAGTAGATAAGAGAGGGACAATCTCTGATTCTTTTATCTTACCTATCACTTTTCAGCCCAACCAATTTCAGAAGTTTAAGAAAGAAGACTTTAGGTCATGGAATTGAGGAGAGGTAACATAAAGGGAATTTGCTTAGAGAGAAGATATAGGAGTGAGAATAAATGTTCTTTCTTTTCTAGAAGGAGATGATCTCCACTGGGTTTCTAAGAGGTATCCTTGTGGCCTTATTTAGTATTTTTTGGGTACAGGCTCCCGGTCAAGATAATTCTGGGGAAGGGAAAGGAAAGTGGGCTAATGTCCACGGTTTTCAAAGAAGGAAGAACGGGCCCTTCTACTGAGGTCGTGTGTTCTGTGAGGCTTTAGCTAACCCAGCACCTGTCCCAGATAGTACTAGTTGAATGGCTTATCCTACAAGTCTTCAAGTTTTATTCTGAAATCCATATGCTGAATCACTTCCGTAGGGCTTTCAGTTGTCACTCTGACCCAGCAGTCTAGTGTGTTTTAGAAGCATGGTATTTTCAAAGGCAATAATAGATTTTCTACTGTCTGCTATATTGAGAGTGTTGTTTTCGGTTCTTGGTTCTACTTTTAAGAGGGCTTTTGTCACTGACAGCTGGGGATGTTGACGATGGATCACATGAACACCAGAGACCTCATATCCAATAATCCTGGACTCTGGATTATTTCTCAAGGAGGGTGATTTAGGGGAGTGGGGTAGGTGTGTGCATCTCAGAGTCTTCAGGAACAGTTCACAAATCTAGGATTCTCTGAGTGAGAAAAGAGTAATCAGGGCACTAGGATAGCTGTTTTCAAAAATTTGGAGGACTTTAGGGGGAGATTAAAGTATTTCCAGAGGGTAGAACAAAACTAGTGGGTGGAAGTTATGATAAAGCAGGTATTCTTTAAAGCAGTCTAAGGAAGAACTTTTAACCAATAAGAAGTGTCCAAAAGGGGAATATGTTCCCCCATAAGGTAGTGAGGTTCTTAGTATCAGAAGTGCCTGGGTATTTCATGGACATTCCTGCTCTGGGTAGAATATTGCAGCAAATGAGTTCTGAAGTCCTTGTGAAAAAGAATAGAATATCACAGAAAGCTAAAGCCTATCTGGTCACCATTCCCAGTACGTGTTAGCTTCTTCCCCTAGTCCGCAGAAGTGAGCTCCTGGGAAATATCAATACTAATTTATGGGAGTATCTTTTTCCTCCATAAATCATACTGAATACTGAATGTATTGTTGTGGTTGCCTTTTTTTTTTTCACTCAATGATATGTTTTGGAGATCTTTCTGTATTAATTTCTAAAAATCTTTTTTGTTTTAATTCAGTTATTTTTTTTTAACCTTTGCAGTGAATTCCACATATTGCTATGCCAACATTTAGCCATTTCTTTACTGATTGGCATTTATGTTGTTTTCAGTTTTTCATTCTTACCAAACATGGTAATGAACATTCTTGAGCATGCCTCCTTGTATTTCTCTATGATAGCTATCTAAGGGTTTTCCTAATTCTGCTTCTAACTAAGGAGTGGAAAAGTTATCAGTTGTGATCCCCTTCCCAAAGGCAGAGAAGTCATTGTGGATATTGAAGAGATGAATCCAGACGTTCTGGGTGGCATTATTGGAAGCAAAATAGGAATGATTCTCATATTTTTTTTATTAAACCATAGTAGCTTATTGTGTTCCTTATTGGTTTCGTTATATAAATCTGCTCCACCACCTCACAAAGTGATTAGCTTGAATGGACCTTTTTGCCTCCTTTATTTACATCTGGCAAAATCTAGTACAGTGGTGAGCATATAGTGGGCTCTTTGGTACACAACTGTTTGCAGTTCCTATTGGGCCACCCAAGGAAGGCTTGGAAAAGGCCCTCCTAAAGCATGGTTTCCTAGAGTCTGGCAGGAGGACCACCTGCATCCCAGTCCCCGGGACCCTGGTTAATACTGCCAATTCCTGTGCCAAACCGCAGACCACTGACTCAGAGTATCTGGGAACCAACGTTCCTATCGTCAAGGTCCCCAAGCAGTTTGACACACATCCAGTTTGAGAACCGCTATTTCAAGGCAGCCACAATGATTTCAAGGGTCCAGAAGAGCAGCTAGCTAGCTGACAAACTACAATAGGGGGCAGGTTTTTCAAGGAAGGAAAAGAATTGCTGATGAGACTTAAAAAACTTGCTTTTGCTATTTCCTGAAAATGTTTAGATTAGTACAATAGCTGAAAATATAGTTTTGATAGTGTTAGAACCATTGTTTGGGTAGGTCTTAGGCAACCTCTGATATTATCGCCCAGTTGATATACGTCATTATTAAACCAGGCTTTATTAGAAGGGTCTGATTTTGTCTTCTGTTGAAAGCTAGTAATTACATATAATATTTGTGAAATATTATATTTATCTGATTTCTTTTTTCCCAGGCTGCTCTTTATGGATGTGGCTGCTGGGCTGAAAATACTGGAGCTCATAATCCCTATTCCACAGCTGTGAGTACCTCAGGTATTTGCTGCTTTCATGACCATTTTTCATAAGCTTCTCATTTTTCTTCAGCCTTATAGGTCATTTAATGGTTGAAAACAATATTTTTATGTAAACATAAAGCATGTGATATGACACTGCATAGACAA